GAGAGGGAGAGAGGGAGAGAGAGAGAGAGAGAGAGAGAAAGAGAGAGGGAGAGAGGGAGAGAGGGAGAGAGGGAGAGAGAGAGAGAAAGACACCTCCGGCACTGACACATGGAGACCAAGACTCAACACCAGTCTTGGTGACTACAAACCATAAAAACAATTGAGAGTTTTAACTCAGTTACCACCCTGGGTGCTCCACCCATTAAGTGGCTTCACGGCAGGAGATGCCAGCTAATTAATTCTCTGGAACATAGCTGTGGAGTAGGGGAAGTCCTAAGTATTCCCCTGAAGGTACAGTGTTCGAGTCTGCTGGAATAAGACCTGCAATCGACAGATTACCAAGAGCAAAGGCTACAGAAGATTAGCAACACACGGGCACCTGAGCTCTCAGCCATTGAGGAAGCAGAAGTACAGCCTGCAGGTGGTGTTAAAGGGTGGGGAACTACTTTAAGGGAAAGAGTGGACCCAGAGTCAGATAAGGATGTGGTGGTGCCCAAGGCTGCTTTCTTCTAGCCCATTATTGTCACATTAAATTAAACGCAGGAAACTCATTAAATTAGAATAGTTATTCAAAGCTGAGGAGGCAGATGTTATGGCAAATTTATTACGTAGCCTTGGACTCCTGGTCCTTCTGTCTCAACCTCACAAGAGCTGTGAAAAAAACTTTAACAATTTTATGTAGTGTTTTTGTGTTCCTTCTTAATACATTAAGCAACAAGATCTAGCAGGGTAATTTCAACGTAGCAAAGGACTTAAACAGTATCGCAGGACTCTGGTAGAAACTGTAGCCTGGTGATAAGGGAGCACTTCTATTAGTCAGGGTCGTGGGTACCAATGCAAACACTGTGGTTTATTTCCCATGTTACACAAGGAGGGGTGCTGCATTTCAGCTTAGACATGGATGAAAATAAACATGTGTGTCTTCTCCCCAGAGTCACAGATTTCTCATACATAGAGCTCCAAGACAATTCCATGACAGACTTCTGAAAGGCTACATACACGTAAGTGTAGAGTAGGGTGAGGAAAAGGCAAAAAGCAAATACAATAGTTTGAATTGTTCAAATCTATATTACTTGTTTTTGCAGAAACGTCATATTCATGTGTTACTCAAATACAAACATAGACAACCTAGATTTCAGATCAGAAGCTGTTGCTGCCTGGGGCGGGAACCCACCACATGCCAGAGCCTTTCGGCCTTCTCCCACCCTGCCCCAAATGCCAGGTGGAAGTGCCACTCATTATCACCTCCTCTCCTTTACCAGTGAAGTCTGGAACCTTCAGCATCTCATCTACAGGAGGCAACTGGGTTTCAAGTTCAGACAGAACTGATTCCCATTCAAGGGTGTACTTCTAGCACCCTCAGGAAACACGAAACGAATAACTCAATAGTGAGCCATACAGTCACCCTTTAAAATATTGTTTAATGAGACAGCACCCTCTTGACTCCAAATAGCTAATGATTTGTGAAATAATATAACACGAGTGTTCTAGCTGATGCTTCACATTTGTCAAACATCCGCCATAGTCATCAGCATTCTGGATAGTAAGTGATGCTCAAATGTAGAGGTTTAGAAGGTAGCATTAAAGAACTGAAGAGATGGCTCAGCAGTGACGAGCACTGGCCGCTCTTCCAGAAGTCTGGAGTTCAGTATCCAGCACCCACCTGGCAGCTGGATCCAGCGCCATCCTCTGGACTCCATAAGAACTGCATGTGGTGCACAGACATACATATAAGCAAAACTCCAAATACATAAAACAAAATAAAAAATCTCTTTATTAACAAAGAGGGTAAGAGGTTTGTTCACTTGATGTGTACAAAGAGCAGTCTTTGCCTCTTCATAAGTGACTCTTTGCTTTCACTAGGAATGATGGCTGCCATAACAGAAGAAGGCTCTTGCATCAACTTCAAGGAAATGGTGTTTGTTGACAACACGCTTTACTTTATACGTAAGTCTAAACCAGTAAGACAAATGCAGGGCTCAGATATAGGTTTTCAACAAGAAAAGAAATCATAAAGTGAGCTTAGGCTCCTGTTTGTCATCAAATTCTACTGCAGTGTTATTGTCCCCTCTCTAAAAATAACCATAAGATACTTGAGGTCTCAGTGCCTTGTCCCACCTCAGGGGTGGCACGCTGGCAGTAGCTAACCAAGAGGGTGCCTGGGGCCCATCATGAAGATCCCATGAAAATGTGCCATTGAGGAAACCCTGCTTCCCAAAAGAAATGCTATCATGATATTCTAGACCTACAGTTCTGTGTATACCATTCATGTGAATATACTTGACCAGAGAGAGAGGGAGGATGGAAGGAGGGATGGAGATTCTTCTGGTTAAGTTTCCATGGGGAATTTGACTTCACTGAAAGTTCAGCTTTCTTTGGAAGTTTCCTGGAAAAATTTTTAAATGCTTTTCCATTTAAACAATAAATTTTTAAAAAAGTTTGCTGTTTTATTAAAAAATACTTTAGCTATATATTGAGATTTATAAATCCTGGAGTTAAAATTATTATTATTATTATTATTATTATTACATGTATATAGGTGTTTCTTCTGCATGTATGTCTGTGAACCACATGAATGTGGTACCCATGGAGGTCAGAAGAGGACACTGGATCCCATAGAACTGGATGTGTGAGCTGACATGGGGGTGCTGGGAATCAAAACATGAGTCCGCTGAAAGAACAGACTCTTAACTTCTTAACAGTGCTCTTAACTTCTGAGCCATCTCTCCAGCCCTGGATTTCAGTCTTATGCTTAACATATCCAAGCACACATGAACCCTAATAGGCTTAGATTTTTGTTGTTGTTGTTTGTTTTGTTTTTGTTTTTTGTTGTTTTGGGTGTTTGTTTGTTTGTTTGTTTTTCAAAACACAGTTTCTCTGTATAGCCCTGGCTGTCCTGAAACTCACTCTGTAGACCAGGCTGGCCTTAAACTCAGAAATCTGCCTGTCTCTGCCTCCCAAGTGCTGGGATTAAAGGTGTGCCCCACCACTGCCCGGCTAATAGGCTTAGTTTTATGGGCTCTTGAATGCTTATCAAATCTGATATTCCTACTGGAGGCCAACAGAGCCAGCCCATCAGCATGACACAGAGGTTAAGGAGTGAGGAGTGGGGACCGGGTGCCACACCTTCAATCCCAGCACTTCAGAAGGCAGAGGCAGGTGGACTCTGTAAGTCTGGGGCCAGTCTAGTCTACAGAGTGAGTTCCAGATCAGCCAGAACTATAAAGTAAGTCCCTGTCTATAGAGAGAGTTGGGGGAGGAGAGTGGAAGGAAGAGTAGAGTTGTAGAAGGGCAGGAGAGAGGGGACATGTTGAGCCAAACCGTATAATTTAACATATTGTGTTTTTCTGTTCCTTCTTTTAGCTGAAGATAATGGTAAGTATAAATTTTTTCTTTCTTTGCAAATTAGAAGGCACTTGAGACACATCCGTTGTCAGCTGGCAGAAACCTTCCATAGGGTTGTTTCCTAGGTGGTTAATAATTACAGTTATATTAAATTCAAACAGTGAGAGCATAATAAAACTATAATCCCTCAGCTGATGGACTTATAAGTTGTTTCCATCTTACAGCTTGTTTACAGCATTATGTGGGGTTCTTGGAGATTTCAGCTGTTCGGTTTGGTTTGACACTAGTTCAAAAGACTGGCCCAGAACTCATTCTATTACCTGGACTGGCCTCAACCTTGTGATCCTCCTGCCTTAGCAACCTGAGTGCCAGGATCACAGATGTACCGCATTCTTAGACAACAGTGTTAGCGCAATGTGTCTGAACTACCTGTTCAGGATAAAATCTAGGAAGCAGAAATGCCAGACTGACAGCAGAGAAGGAAGAGTTGGCAAATCAAAGATTCAACCCATTGCTCGGAGTACAAGTGGGCTCTGCCTTGGACACTAGGACCCCTGTCCAGTATTTTTATTTAGTAGAGGAAAAGAACTGGTCTAGTGTGGTGTACACACCTTTAAGCCCACTTAGGAGGGAGAGGCAGGCAATCTCCGAGTTTGAAGCCAACTTGGTCTACAGAGCAAGGTCCAGGACAGCCAAGACTACACAGAGATACTCTGTCTCAAAAAACAAAAGAAATGAAGGTGGGGGTCAGGGGAGGGAAGGAGAGGGAGAGAGAGAAGGAGATGGAGAAGGAGATGGAGAAGGAGAGAGTGAACTCCCTGAAGGGGAAAGTAGGGATGATTGTTGTAAAGATCCAGAGAGCAGCAAGACTTGAAGCTACAGCTATGGACTAAGAGACAGCACTCAACTGGAAAACTAAGTACTGCCCAGCGGGGAGCCTGTGGTGGGACAGTTTTCACATTTGCATAAACAGGTTAAGGATTCATGATACTAACAAGACTCCAAAACGAAGCACAAGGCACAGTTAGAAGGAAGGGCAGAAGGAGCTAGGGAAGAGTTCCCGGGGGCAGGAGAGGGGAGGGCACTGTGAGGTCTGAGAACATGGACAGCACAAGTCAAAGTGTAAGAAAACAGAAACAGTAGGAGGCTGATCAAACCGTAAGACAGTTGACATTTGGTAGGAGAGCAGCTCTGAGCACAAACAGGAAACACGGTGTCTCTTGGAAGAGGATAAAATACAGCAGTTAGCGTGCTCGTTGCTGCATCTACAAGTTCGGACTGACTCTGGAGAACAGTAGTACTGGGTCTATTTGTTGATCTGAAAAAAAAAAAAAAACAACCCTAACCATTAATGCTTCGATGTATATTATAGGAGACCTGGAGTCAGACCACTTCGGCAGACTTCACTGTACAACTGCAGTAATGCGGAGCATAAATGACCAGGTTCTCTTCGTTGACAAAAGAAAGCAGCCTGTGTTTGAGGATATGCCTGATATTGATCGGAATGGTACTTTCCCCCTACTTATTTCTAAACACAGCGATGACCACCACTATTCTCTCTCCATTTTACTGCCTATACTTTCAAATATTGCAGTATTTGACCAAATCCTTAAATGGAGAGTCACAGTAGTAAATATAATTTCCCGTTAGAGAACACCCATATTTTTAGGTGGAGGGAGGAGTTGGGTCCAATAAAGACTCTGGCAGAAGACAAGTCACTCTGGTCTACATGTGTATCACCAGTTACCTTATTTCAGTTGTATCCTCTGAGGAAGAGCCTCGTCAAGTTGGATGCTTCATCTCCACTGGTGATAGCTAGCTAAACATACTGCTGACACTATCAAAACTCAAAATGAAAAGCAAAACAGAAGCATTTCAAATAAATGTGCCTTGCACCAGAACCTAAGAATACCTCAGAGAATGACACAATTACTGTGAGTCTCAAGTCATGAGTTCCAAATCACACACAGTTTGGGGCCTGGTTGAATGCATATTTTTGGAAAAAAAAATCCTATCCTAAGATTTTTGCTTCAGCAAATAGATTTTTAATATTCTGTTAAACATTCAACAGTTAAACATAGTCTTTAGACTCAGAATAATGTTCTGTTTGAGGGTTGACTTTGTTTTGGGAAAAGATCTCACTATATATTCCTGGCAAGCTTAGAACTCTATAGACTAGACAGACCTAAAATTCAGAGATCTACCTACCCCTGCCTCCCGAGTGATGGAAATCAAGACGTCTGCACCCACACCCAGCAGGGTTCATAAAATCTTTAACACACTCAAAAAGATATCAAAGTGTCTTTAACAGATTCTGAATATCTTTTTTATACATACATTGGTGTTTTGCCTGCATGTATGTCTGTGTGAGGGTGTCAGATCTTGAAGTTACAGACAGTTGTGAGCTGCCATATGGGTGCTCAAAACTGAATTCAGGTCCTCTAGAAGAGCAGTCAGTGCTCTTAACCACTGAGCCATCTGCCCAGCCCCAACTCAGAATATTTTTAGCACACTCATATTGGCTACTCATGTTTTACAACCCCTTGTAAGTGGGTTTTAAGGGGTGTCATGTCTGTCGACTGTCTGGCCAAAACTGAGTGCAGGGTAGTGATCTGTCTATTAAGGTGGATCTAGCCTTGGCTAAATTTCTACAGATGTCAAGTTTGGGATAAACTATTGCAATTAGTGGTCTAATTTATTAATATTTGTTTCAGCCCATGGATCCCAAACCAGACTGATAATATATATGTATAAAGATAGTGAAGTAAGAGGACTGGCTGTAACTCTGTCTGTGAAGGATGGAAGAATGTCTACCCTCTCCTGTAAAGACAAAGTCATTTCCTTTGAGGTAAGATTCAGCTTCACTTGGGTTTTAGTCATATTAATGGACAAAATGAAAAAATCCAGGCATCTTCAGACCAACCTTTTATCTAGAGCTGGAAGAGCAAAGACATCCACTGAAATCAGTGGTAGTGGGGAATTGTCAAGCCCTATGGCCTAGTGTGATGATACGTGGTTGTCTAATTTGTCTCTAAGCCTGTCAGAGAAAAAGTGACAGCTGCATGTTTTCTTTTCAGAAAGGGTTTCTTGTATCCTAGACTGACTTAAACTTAGTATATAGTTGAGGGTGACCTTGCACTTTTAACCCTTCCATCTCTACTCTAGGATTACAAGTGCCTGTCACTACGCCCAGTCTCATGCTCTGGGTCTTCCATTAATATTGATGTTAGCCACTGTGGCCATAGACGGGGTTTGGCTAAGACCCAACTGCATCTCCTGCTGCATCACTAGGGCTTCATAGCTAAGTATTAGTTCTCAGCTAGACTTTGACCTTAAACTTGGTCCTAGATCAACTTTTGCAGCTTACAGTGTCTCCCTAAGTTGTGGTTTAGCAGGCATGGTTTCAGAAGCGGGTGCTAGTGAGAGAGTATTCTACATGACCGTCAACGTGAGGCCATACTTGTTCATAAAGGACAATGGCCAACAACGATGACTTTCAAGTCTATAACTACTTCAGTTGAAAGCCCCCCTCAGAGTCTTGTATGCATCTTAGGGGGATAGGATGCTTTTTCAGTTCTAGAGATGTCTCTATCAGTCCACAGGGTCATGGTGATATTTACTACCATGGAGTCGAAATTAACTCCAAAATGTGAGTTCTATGATTAACATGGAAGAACCTCGGGCAGTGCCCGCATTTTCTAACACACCCTGAAAAGGTAGACAAGACGTAAGAATAGGACTAGCCAGGCACTCCTAGCTGTTGCAGGTCCATTGTGAGGGACTACAGCTTCCAGACACCTAATCCTGATAGACTCTGGTGTTTGAACAAAAGAGAGAAGAATCAGCACTTGGCCTTTCTGGGCAGGACCCAGACAAAGGGACTACACTCAGGACAAAAAGGAGAGACTACTGTGCATTGTTACGCTTGGCAGAAAGATAGAATCAGGGGTCACAGACTGAGTCAGTATAGCTGGACTATTGGGAAACCCAAGACTCAGTCATAGCATAGCTACTGAGTTTAATCACGCTACGGTTAGTTCTAGGATCCACAGAAAGAAGCTGAGCTTCTTGACCCCTCCTGATCTCGCTAAGAGCTACTGAGCTTAAGGAGGAGGTCATCAGTGTTGTTAGCTACAGACAACTGAGAAAGACAAGAACAGGAATTAGCCCAAAGAGGTGGCTATTTTTGCTAGAACTTTACTTCATCATTAACAGACACAGACTCCACTTGGTGGAGAAGAACAGAAGGAAGCTCTCTAGGCATAAGGGAATCAGGAGGCCTACATATGGAACAGTGTTCCAGGTTGGAAAAGGTCAGAATGGATGAAAAAAGAAGAAGTTAAGGATTAAAGAAAGGTGGTCAGGACTCATATTATTCTATATTCGGAGGTTTTTTTTTTCTTAACTTTTGAAAAAATTAAAACTGCTTTAGGTCTGTTTAGTAATACACCTCTAAATAAACTGTACATATTCGATTTGTTAATGTCCTCTTTTAAAAATACTTCACTTTGAGTGTGTGTGTGTATGTGTGTGTGTGTGTGTGTGTGTTTCTTCAGAGGACAGAAGGAAGAGTCGGATCCCCTGGTGCTGGGGTTCAGGCATTTGTGAGCTGCCTCCATGTGGATACTGGGAGCCAAATTCCAGACCCCTGAGAGCAGAACAGCAAGCACTCTTAACCACTGAGCCATCGCTCCTGCCCGAGTTGTCTATATCCTTAAAAATTATGTGTTTTGTGTTTTCTCCACAGGAAATGAATCCACCTGAAAATATTGATGATATAAAAAGTGATCTCATATTCTTTCAGAAACGTGTTCCAGGACACAACAAAATGGAGTTTGAATCTTCACTGTATGAAGGACACTTTCTAGCTTGCCAAAAGGAAGATGATGCTTTCAAACTCGTTTTGAAAAAGAAGGATGAAAATGGGGATAAATCTGTAATGTTCACTCTTACTAACATACATCAAAGTTAGGTATTAAAGTTTTTGTGTGGGCTGGAGAGATGGCTCAGTGGTTAAGAGCACTGACTGCACTTCCAGAGGTCCTGAGTTCAAATCCCAGCAACCACATGGTGGCTCACAACCATCTGTAATGAGATCTGATGCCCTCTTCTGGTGTGTCTGAAGACAGCTACAATGTATTAATATATAGTAAATAAATAAATTTAAAGTTTTTGTGTTCCAGAAAGATGATTAGTACACATGAGTCTTATGATAACCTACTCTGTATTTCCATAACAAAATACCTGAGGCTGCATGATTTATAGAGTAAACAAGTTTAATTGTCTCATGTGTCTAGCCCAATTCCTACTCCCTGGAGAATTGTCCTGGATGCATCACAACATAGAAGATAGAAGGAAAGAATCAGCCACATGTGAATTAGCACATGGATGAGGCTTACTCCATAGCAACCGATTCTTGAGAGAGGTAGTCAACCTTTTCAATGCTGGGGCCTCATTACCCTAATCATCTCCCACCTCTTAGATATCTCACCACCTCATTACACCCATCCCGGGGACCAAGTTCTCAACACATGTGTCAAAACAAATCTATACTTACAGCATTGAAATCAATATCAATAATGGCCTCAACAAGTCACTAAAGCCTGATAATAATTATCTGATAATTTTTTTAAGATAGCACTCATGGGGTGGAGAGATGGCTCAGTAATTAAGAGCACATGCTACTTTTTCAGAGGACTCAAGTTAAAAAATTAATTCTATGATGGGGGCATGCACATGCCCCAGTGAGCGCATGGAGTCAGCTCTATCCTTCCACTGTTGTGTGGGTTCCAGGTTCCAGGAAGCAAACTAAGATCACCAGGCTTGCATATCAAGCTCCTTTATCTATGGAAGGTGGCCATCTCTCTGGCCACATTCTGTGTTAGCTTGCATAGCAAGCTCCTTTATCTCTGGCCACATTCTGTGTTATTTTAGCCATTATGACTTTGTTCCACTGTGAAAAGTTTAAACACATCAACATTAGTAGACCGTTTATATTGCCCATTACCTCAGCTCCAGCAGCTCTGACACCTTCTGGGCACCCACACTCACATACACACATGTACATATACGTATGTACACACACATACACACACACTTAAAAATGAAATCTAAGCCAGGTGGTGGAGGTGTATATGTGTGATCCCAGTACTCTGGAGGCAGAGGCAGGTGGATCTCTGTGAGTTCCAAGGCTAGCACCACATTGCCTTCTGCTCTTTCTCCTGACTCTTAGACATAGGTAGAGATTAGGTCCTATTTCTCCTTCCAGCCTCATGCTCTCAGAATTAAGACTCAGACTCAAAACCTATTTTCAAATACCTTGGCCACATAGCTAGGCTCTTCTCTGAAAATATTGTAACTTAGTAAATTATTTTAACCTACATTCTGCCATGTGGCTGGTCACCTGTGCTCAGTACCATTCATCCATTTTGTCACATTTTCCCATGCTTGCCTCCCAGATGTCCCACATTCTAGTCTAACCTTTACTATAGGCTATAGGTTGTTTGTTTGTTTTTTTTAATTGACAGGTGAGGCACCCATACAATACACAAGATATTTCCTCAACAGACATATGTTGCTTTTTTTTCTTCTTCCTGTCTTCTCTCAACACATGGACTTTATAATTTAAAGAGAAAATGTTAGCTTAGAAGAGCCTATTTTTTTTTCCCTCGTTAGTTATTCCAAATTTCAAGCCTTTGGTTTTGCTCACAGAGAATTAACCTAGTTCATGGAAAACAGTCACAGTTAGAAATCTTGCTAACTCTACTGACAGTTGTCAGAAATCTCTACAGCCGGCTGGGCTTTGGTATTCACAGCTTCAACCAGGCTCTAAATTTGGCCTTTGATTTTTTTTTTCCCTCCTTCACTGATGATCATCAATACATTGGTTCATGGCTGAGCCTCAAACCGTCCTGGTGGACTGCTTTTGTTTTGGTTTGGTTTTGCTTTTTGTCTGTTTCTAAATTTAGAATATTCCATAGAGCTGTGGTATAAAAACTAGGAAGTGAAAGCAACAGAGAGCATAACCCTGGAAACACAGAGCTGGAGGTGAGATACCGTGAGACCAGACCTGTCTAAAGCAGGCCTGTAATATATATCTCTCTCCTCCTTCTCCTCCTTCTCCTCTTCCTCTTCCCTCTCTTCTTCCTCCTCCTCCTCTTCCCTCTCTTCTTCCTCTTCTTCCTCCTCTTCCTCTCCCTCCTCCCCACCCCCATTTGTTTTCTTCCTTTTCTTTGAAACACTTTCTCTTTTGGGTTCTGTATTAGTCAGGGTTCTCTAGAGGAAGAGATCTGATTCAACATTCACACACACACACACACACACACACACACACGACTTATTAAGAGTGGCTTACAGGCTGTGGTCTAGTTAGTCCAACAATGGCTGTCTACCAACAAAAAGTTCAAGGATCCAGTCAATGTATAAGGCTGGATGTCTCAGCTGCTCGTCAGTATATGCCCAAATCCTGAAGAAAGAGGCTCTAATCCCAGTGAAGAAATGACTTGCCAGCAAGAGTGAGGGCAAGCAGGCAAAAGAAAGCAAGCTTCCTTCTTCCATGTCATCTATATAGGCTGCCAGCAGGAGGTGTGGCCTAGATTAAGAGTGGTTCTTCCCACCTCAAAAGATCGGTATTAAAAATGGTTCTTTCCCACTTCAAATGATTTAATTAAGAAAAAAATTCCTTAGCCAGGCAGTGGTGGTGCACACCTTTAATCCCAGCACTTGGGAGGCAGAGGCAGGCAGATTTCTGAGTTCGAGGCCAGCCTGGTCTACAGAGTGAGTTCCAGGACAGCCAGGACTACACAGAGAAACCCTGTCTCGAAAAAACAAAAATTAAAAAAAAAAGAAAAAAAAAAGAAAAAAGAAAAAAATTCCTTACAGGTGTACTCTTTTTTTTGTTAATTCCAGATGTGGTGAAGTTGACAAACAAGAATGGCCGTAACAGACTCTTACACAGAAGGACAGTCTGCAAAATGGTTTGGAACTAATTCACTTTGCTGTAGCTTTTTTACTTTTTTTTTTTAAATGAGTATTTTCCAGAAAGCTCTCAGATGTCACACTCTGGACCACAATATATTTTTAAGTTTTTATTTTAATGTTTTAATTATGTGCACATGTATTGGGGGGAATGTATATGTGAGTGCAGTGCCCATGGAGGCCAGAGGAGGGCGTCAGATCCTCGGGAGCTGAACTCACAGGCAGCTGTACACCTACTGATACGGGCTTGAAACAGAACTTCAGTTCTCTGCAAGACCACACTTAACTCCTGAGCCATCTCCCAGCTCCACAATATTTTAGTATCAGATGTTCACAATATTTTTTTTTTTTTTTTACTATCAGGGGCTGGAGAGATGGCTCAGCAGATACGAGTGCTTCCTGCTCTTCCAGAGAACCTGAGCTCAGTTCTCAGCACCCACCTTCTTCACTTACAACTGCCTGTTAACTCCAGCTCCAAGAGATCCAAGGCTCTCTTCTGGCCTCTCTGGGCACCTGTATGTACATACACACACACACACACACACACACACACACACACACACACACACAGAAGCTGGGAACTGAGATGTAACTCCTTTGGTGGAGTACCTGAAGGATGCGGACTACTACACTGCCTCTGCAGCACGGGATAAGACTAACTGTTGTGGTACACTCCAGAAACCGCAGAACTCTGCGGGGTAAAAGCAAGACAGTCAAACTTTTAACCTCATCCCTATTATAGCAAGTTTGAAACAAGCCTTAGCTACATGAGACCCTATCTAAATAACAACAATAAATTAAAAATTAAAACATATTCTCCGTGAGTTTGAGGTCAGCCTGGTCTACAGAGCAAGTCCCAAGATAGTCAGGGCAAAAGAAAAGAAAAAAAATTTAAATAAGTATCAGGGCAAAATGTAGGTCTTCTAAAAATGCATACAGTAAGAATGAAAACAGAGGGCAGGGAAAAGGCCACTGCTGGGTGAGTCTCGAAAACAAGAAAGATTCTAAGAAGTGTGAGAAGGGGAACTCTTTCTTTGTAGCCTGTGAACACTGGAAACTGTTCTGTGCAGATCTGAGGGCTAATTGACAGCAGAGGCCTGGTCACAGACTGTGGGGAAGGAACACAACATTTTCTATGTTTTAATTTCTTCTCCATATTTTCACCGTTCTAAAATCTAGACTTGAATTTAGATTTTTCAGAGTGCTCTGCTCTGTCCAGAGTTGTAGCTAAGTTCCATGAGGTAATACCGAGGTATCAGGGATGGTTGGGTAGGGACTCTGTTATGGTAGCATCTGCCCTGATGTCACCATTCTCTTTTGGTCTCTGGCTGGCTGCTACAAAGTTGCTACTTAGCAGACTGTCTCTGCTGCCCATGCAGCTTTTTTAGCAGTTTGGCTGTCTCCCCCTGCATGGTTGTCACTATTGCTTCCAGGATCCATTTTGCCCCCTCCCTGAGCATGCAGGTCACTCAGGCCATAAGTGTTGGTTGGTAGAGGCACCAGCTTCCCTCACAGCTCCACAGGCAGAATTCCACCCTCACCATTAGCCTACCCTTGCCTTCATGACATTCCCTTCCTCACAGTGGTCCTTAGAGGGTAGATGTACAATGGACGTTGGTCCAAATTGAAGTCCGCCAGTATAATCCTAGGACTGAGAGAAGACAAACTCGCTTTCTGGACAGGTGTAGCTGAGGCCAGGAACTGATGTATTCATCTTTTGCTTGATATTAAAGCATCCTTTACTACTAGTAGGAAAAGAGCCAGCCTTAGGAGAAAGCCAATACCCAGCAGGAACAGCAAGGGAACCAGAGTCTGATGACGCTCCTGCCTCTGACCTTTTAACCATGAGGTTATATCAGCACTAACTGGACTTGTTATCCCAGAGCTAACAGACTATTCCAGGCACCTCAGGGATGCATTGTAGCACACTGAATGTCCTGGCCTTCTGGACTCTGCTGGTATGCACTGAGGAAGTTCAGGTCTTAGCTGAGATCTACCCAGTTTCCTTTACATTACCCTCCTGGGGCTCCACACAGGAGACAGCATACAGTTCCCTCTACTTTTGTATTTCATAAGTGCAGAGTGAAGAATGGCCACCTCTGTCCCATCCCTAGAACTCAATAGGGAAGCTCTAGTTGAATCCTCTCCCACCTCTGGCCTAGACTTGCTTTTTCAGGAGGTGGCTAAGCCTGAGCATTCTGTAATTCCACATCACTGGTTGTGGACTTACAGTCATTTGGGACCCTTACTGTTCCAAATCTGGTCTGTTGGTACTGTGTGGGGTGAAACAGGCCATTGGGGATGAAGG